ACGCCTGCTAAGCCTTGCGACATTAGCGCGTATAGACACCGCGCTGAGGGACCACCCACTGCGCACCCCCTCTGGCGTCGAGCAAGTGCCACGCCTGCTAAGCCTTGCGGCATTGGCGCGTATAGGGGCCACGCTGAGGGACCACCCCATGCGCACACCGTCTGGTGTCGAGAAAGTGCCACACCTGCTAGGCACTGCGACATTGGCGCGTATAGAGACCGCGCTGAGGGACCACCCCTTGCGCAGCCTCTCTAGTGTCGAGAAAGTGCCACGCCTGCTAGGCCCTGCGACATTGGCGCGTGTAGAGACCGCGCTGAGGGACCACCCTCTGCGCACCCCCTCTGGTGTCGAGAAAATGCCACGCCTGCTAGGCCCTGCGACATTGGCGCGTGTAGAAACCGCGCTGAGGGACCACCCCCTGCGCACCCCCTCTGGTGTCGAGAAAGTGCCACGCCTGCTAGGTTTTGCGACATTGGCGCGTATAGAGACCGCGCTGAGGGACCACCCCCTGCGCACCCCCTTCGGCGTCGAGAACGTGCCACACCTGCTAGGCCCTGCGACATTGGCGCGTATAGAGGCCACGCTGGGGGACCACCCTCTGCGCACCCCGTCTGGTGTCGAGAAAATGCCACGCCTGCTAGGTTTTGCGACATTGGCGCGTATAGACACCGCGCTGAGGGACCACCCCTCTGGTGTCGAGAAAGTGCCACGCCTGCGAAGCCTTGCGACAGTGGCGCGTATAGACACCGCGCTGAGGGACCACCCCCTGCGCACCCCCTCCGGCGTCGAGAAAGTGCCACGCCTGCTAGGCCCTGCGACATTGGCGCGTATAGACACCGCACTGAGGGACCACCCCCTGCGCACCCCCTCCGGCGTTGAGAAAATGCCACGCCTGCTAGGCCCTGCGACATTGGCGCGTATAGGGGCCACGCTGAGGGACCCCCCCCCCATGCGCACCCCCTCTGGTGTCGAGAAAATGCCACGCCTGCTAGGCCCTGCGACATTGGCGCGTATAGACCCCACGCTGAGGGACCACCCCTTGCGCACCCACTCTGGTGTCGAGAAAATGCCACGCTTGCTAGGCCATGCGACATTGGCGCGTGTAGAGACCGCGCTGAGGGACCACCCCCTGCGCACCCCCTGTGGTGTCGAGAAAGTGCTACGCCTGCCAAGACCTGCGACATTGGCGCGTATAGACACCGCGCTGAGGGACCACCCCCTGCGCACCCCCTCTGGTGTCGAGAAAGCGCCACGCCTGCTAAGCCTTGCGACATTGGCGCATATAGACACCACGCTGAAGGATCACCCTCTGTGCACCCCATGTGGCGTCGAGAAAATGCCACTCCTGCCACCATCTGCGAGCGTGTCACGGATAGAGGCCGCGCTGAGGGACCACCCTCTGCGCACCCCCTGTGGTGTCGAGAAAGTGCCACTCCTGCCACCATCTGCCTGTGTTGTCTGTGCTGCGGTGTGCTGTGGTGTGATGTGGTGTGCTGTGCTGAGCTGAGCTGAACTGTGCTCAGCAATGCTGTGCTGTTCTGTGCTGTGCTGTGTGCGTGAGGAGGAGGAGGTGGAGGAGGGGAGGAGGGCGGGTGTGGGTGACACGCGGGTGCGGCGCGGGTGGGAAGAAAACCAGGACCCCACGAAGCATGTGGGGAACAAGAATTGCTGTGCTGTGCTATGCTGTGTGTGCGGTGTGCTGTGTGTGCTTGTGTGTTTGTGTGTATGTGTGTATGTGTGTATGTGTATGTGTGCTGTGCTGTGCTGTGCTGTGCTGTATGCTGTGTGTGTGTGCTTTTGTGTTTGTCTGTATGTGTGTATGTGTGTATGTGTGTCCTTTGATGTGCTGTGCTGTGCTGTGATGTGGGTGAGGGAGGGAGGAAGAGGAGGGGGAGGAGGAGGAGGAGGAGGAGGAGGTGTGAGACGCGGGTGCGTTAGACGCGGGTGCGGCGCGGGTTGGAAGAAAGCAATAGCCCCACTAAACATGTGGGGGAACAAATAGTAATAGAAATTAGACCCGTAGTAGTAGTAGTAGTAGTGGTAGTAGTAGTAGTAGTAGTAGTGGTGGTGGTGGTGGTGGTGGTGGTGGTAGTATTAGCAGTAGTAGTAGTAGTAGTAGTAGTAGTAGTAGTAGTAGTAGTAGTAGCAGTAGAAGTAGTAGTAGTAGTAGTAGTAATAGTAGTGGTAGTAGTAGTAGTAGCAGTAGTCGTAGTAGTAGTCCCAATCGAAGTAGTAATCATGCTAATAATAAACGTAGAGGTAATAATACTAACAATCGTAGTCGTAATCGTCGCGGTAGTAATGCTAATCGCCGTCGTCGACTTAGTAGCAGTAGTAGCCACAACAATCGTAGTTGTAGCGAAAGCAGTCGTAACAACCATAGTCGTAACAATCGTAGTCGTAGTGATAACACTAGTAGCCGACCTACTCGTAGCATTGGGAATCTCAATCGTAGTCGTCGTAGTCATAGTCGTAGGAGTATTAGGAGTCGTACCAGTCGTAGTCGCAGTAGTAGTAGTCGCATTCCTAGTGATAGTCGTAGTCGTAGTAGGGGCCGTAGTCCTACTACTTCTACTAGCTAGCACTAGTAGTCGTAATCGTAATCGGAGTAATACCAACCGTCATCGTAGTAGTAGTAGCCGTAATATTGGCAACGTAGCAGTAGTAGTAGTAGCAGTAGTAGTAGTAGTAGTAGTAGTAGTAGTAGTAGTAGTAGTAGTAGTAGTAATAGAAGTCGTAGTAGTAGTAGTAGTAGTCGTAGTAGTAGTAGTAGTAGTAGTAGTAGTAGCAGTAGTAGTCGTAGTCGGAGTCGTAGTCGTAGCCGTAGTCGTAGCAGTAGTAGTAGTAGTAGTAGTAGTAGTAGTAGTCATAGTAGTAGTAGTAGTAGTAGTAGTAGTAGTAGTAGTAGTAGTAGTAGTAGTAGTAGTAGTAGTAGTAGTAGTAGTAGTAGTAGTAGTAGTAGTAGTAGTAGTAGTAGTAGTAGTAGTAGTAGTAGTAGTAGTAGTAGTAGTAGTAGTAGTAGTAGTAGTTGTAGTAGTAGTAGTAGCGAACGTATTTGTCGTAGTCGTGGCAATACTAACCGTTGTCGCCTTAGTGATAGTAGTCGTAATACTAGTAGTCGTCGTCGTAGCCGTGATATGAACGTAGCAGTAGTAGTAATGGCCGTAGTAGTCGTAGTAGTACTGAACATAATAGCGGTCGGAGTAGGAATCGTAATCGCAGCCGCATTCGTAATCTGAAAGTAAGAGTCATAATAATACGTATGCTGCTCGGGGTAGTCGTAAAAGTAATCATGATACGAGTAGTAGTGAGCGTAGTAGTAGTACTAGTGTTAGTCGTAGTAGTCGTAGTCGTAGTAGTCGGTGGTAGTAGTAGTAGTAGTAGTAGTAGTAGTAGTAGTAGTAGTAGTAGTAGTAGTAGTAGTAGTAGTAGTATTAGTAGTAGTCGTAGTAGTAGTAGTAGTAGTAGTAGTAGTAGTAGTAGTAGTAGTAGTAGTAGTAGTAGTAGTTAGTAGCAGTAGTAATAGTAGCAGTAGCAGTAGTAGTTGTAGTAATAGTAGTAGTAGTAGTAGTAGTAGTAGTAGTAGTAGTAGTAGTAGTAGTAGTAGTAGTAGTCGTCGTTGTTCGTCCGTCTTAGAAAGTTAGTAGTATAGTAGTAAGTAGTAGTAGTGCTATAAGTAGCACAAGTAGTAGTAGTAATAGTTTGTAGTAGTAGTAGTAGTAGGAATCGTCGTAGTAGTATAGTAGTAGTAGTGTAGTAGTAGTAGTGAGTAGTAGTATAGCAGTAGTAGTAGTATAGTAGTAGTAATATCAGTCGTAGTATAGTAGTAGTGGTAGTAGTAGTATAAGTATATAGTAGTGGAAAGTCGTAGTAGTGGTGCGTAAGTTGGTAAGTAGTAGTATTAAGTGATGAAGTATGAGATCGGTTGTTATGAGTAGTAGTAGTAGTAGGAGTATTCGTGGGTAGTGGAAGTAGTCGTAGCAGTCGTCGCCGCCGTAGTAGTGATAATACTAGCACTGCAATTATCTAGTAGTCGTGAAAGTAGTAGTAGTAGTAGTAGTAGTAGTTGTTGTAGTAGTTGTAGTAGTAGTAGTAGTAGTAGTAGTAGTAGTAGTAGTAGTAGTAGTAATAGTAATATTAATAGTCGTCGTCGGTCGTAGTGGTAGTAGTAGTCGTAGTCGTCGTCGTAGTACTAGTATTGGTAGTAGTCGTCGTAGTACCAGTAGTAATACTAGTAGTTGTAATAGTAGTAGCAATAAAGTAGTAGTGGTGGTAGTTGAAGTAGTGATATTCGTAATAGTAATAGTAGCACTAGTAGTACTAGGAGTAGTCGTAGCAGTAGGAGTAGTAGTCGTAGTAGTCGTAGTCGTAGTCGTAGTCGTAGCCGTAGTCGTAGTCGTAGTCGTAGTCGTACTCGTAGTAGTAGTAGTAGTAGTAGTAGTAGTAGTAGTAGTAGTAGTAGTAGTAGTAGTAGTAGTAGTAGTAGAAGTAGAAGTAGAAGTAGTAGTAGTAGAGTAGTGGTAGGAGTAGTAGAAGTAGTAATAGTAGTATAATGCGTTGGGGTGTCGCCGATGCCAAAATTGCCCTGGGCAAGCGCAACCTTCCGCGAGCGCCGCGTGCGACGGCACTACTCTGGGGGCCCGCGTGCGCGGGTGGGGCCCCTCCGCGAACCCCGGCAGCCGCGCACCGAAGGCCCCTCCGGCGATGGGCCACACTTACGCGGTAAACACCAAAAAAAACCTTAACCCTTTGGGAGAGACGTGTGCGGCAGTTCGCGGAACCAGTCCTGGATTTTTCCGAAGGAAGGTTTTCGGAACGTTCCTCCCGGGCTGCGGGGGGTGGGGAGGGAGGCCTCCTAGATGGGGTCGGAGTAGATGTGGTCGGAGGATCGCGCCGAATCGCCGATGCATCGGCAACGTATTGGCGATGCGTCGGCGATGCACCGACCCCATCTACTCCGACCCCGTCTAGGAGGCCCAGACTTACGTGCAGCCGAGTGCCGCCCGCCGCGCCGCGCAGCTCCTCGGCCGGCCAGTTCCAGTCCAGTGCGCGCACCTCCACGGTGGCGTGCCCGAGCCGCCGCCGGTTGAGCGCCAGGCCGCGCTGCAGCAGCGGCAGGCTCTCCTTCTTCGGCGGCGCGCCGCGGCGGCGCGCCCGGAGTGGAAGCTTGGGAGCTTCGGGTTCGAGGCTCGAGATTTTCATGCATGTTCGTCAGCTGTCTGCGGGCCCCAAGACTATACACCACCACCACCACGTCGATTCCTCTCCCCTCCAGCCTCACCTTCCTTTCCTTTTTGGGGCATTTTCGTAGGTTCTCGGCCGTTGCCCAGCTTCGGGATGCGTTCCAGCGGCTGCGCCTCGTCGAGAGCGTTCCAGGGTGGCCACGATCGTGCCGGACGGCCGACGGGGGCCCGAGTTATGACCCGAAGAGACCACACACAGGGCGGCCAGAGTTGGGCAGGCCTTCTCAGTGTCGGCGGCAGGGCTTCCCAGAAGCCCTTGGCACCCTCTGAAGAAGTCTTCTCGAGTCTTCTTCGGAGACAGGGACGGCTTCTCAAGAAGGCTGGAGGGAGGGCTTCTGAGACGCCCCGCCGCCTTCTGAGAAGGCCTGCCCCCGCTCACTTCCTCCCTGGACTCGCCACTGACGAAGGGCCCTGGACAAGAGTCGCCTGTGGTGCACGGCTTCAGGGGGCCGCGGGGACGCCGAGTCCAAGTGTGCAGGCCATTGCTGGGGGGACCCGTGTCCCTTGAGGAGAACAGTTCACGTGTTGGGAGGAAGGGGTTGAGAGGACGAATGGTATGAGCAATAGCGTTCGGATGCCATGTGCGATATCTTCTACCTCCTACGGGTAATGACATCCTAGCAGTCGGATGCCATGTGCGATATCTTCTACCTCCTACGGGTAATGACATCCTCGTTCCTCCCAATCCCCTCCTCCCAACCCGATCACTGTCTTCCTGATCTCTGGTGGGCCGGCACCACAGGTCACTCCAGCGAGGGGTGCCTGTTGCGCGTGGCCGACTCCTCCAGCTCCGTCAGGACCACCCGGGAGGCGCCGAGGGCGGCGCTGACCAGGCCTGGGAGTCCCAGGCCCGCTCCCAGCTCCTGGAATGGGGGCCCCCAACCGGAAAAACAGTCATCGTGCTACTGTAAGGAGCCGCCGAGAAAAAATTAATAACGAGGAGGCTTTTCTGGCCACCGCGGGCCTCGGCCGCGACTGGGCTCCCGACCCAGAACGAGAGGGAACGGCCGGAAGCCACAGCCCCTTCTTGAACCCCCCCAAAACGAACCTTGACCGTATCAACGACGCGCCGCCGTGGGGAATCCATCCGAGAGTCGCCGCAGAAGAAGCGCCACGTCTTCGAACGCCCTCCAACGGGATCCCGACAGACTCCCCAAAGCGGCGTGCCACTGATGCGTTGCCATCCCGAGCTCCAGGACAACCCTGCCACTTACCTAGGAGTAACAAAAAGCTGCACGAACACAACCGTTCGGAGATCCGCACAGGTCTCTCGGACCAGCTCTGGCTCCTCTCGAGCGCGCCAGGGACGGCGCCATGGGACCAGCGCCAATCCTAGAAATCCGCGCTGGCCTGCGAGCTCTTGTGCTTCTGCCGTCTTCTTTTTTCCGATCGCCAGGGAGGGGTTGCGGTCGAGCGCGGCGGACATGATGATGGCGCCCTCCCAGAGGGAGTTCGCGTAGGTGGAGTAACGCTCCAGGCCCTCGAACACCTCCTCTCGGGGGGAGCAGCAAGATACCTATACGACCACCCTTCGGGTGGAGGTTGGGGGGTGGGGGGAGGAAGAACCAACTGCTGGCAAATTCGATTGGTGTGATGATGGCGATGCTGGTGACGCGCCCTCGAGTTAGCGACGACGCGTGATGACGATTCTGCTATGCGGTGTAATGCCACTATCGTCCACGCTGTCGATCTCACTCGATCGATCACAATATCGCCCTCACATGATCGATCACACTCGATAGATATGGCGATAGTATCACTATCGATCTTCTTATACATCTCACTCTAGAACTCGCTTTCGATCTCACTATCAATACACTTTCGATCTCACAATCGATTCCTCTCTCGATCCCACTATCGATCTCCCTATTAATCTCACAACCAATGTCGCAATCGACCTCATTGTCGAACTCACTCTCGATCTCACTATCTTCTCCTATTCCAGCGACCTCATCATCGATCTCACGATCGACTTCGCTATCGATACAAAATGCAGAAAACCCTTGGTCACATCCCGCCCACCGCCGACGGAACACCGACGGGACACCAACTGGGCACCAGCGGGACACCACAGGCCACCACGGCGGGACACGCGGGCCTCCGCGCGCACACCGGGGGCGGAAGGGCGGTCCACTGCATGCGAATCGCCCTAGCGACGGCGGGGTCAGTCCTCTGGCGCGCCCACGCAGCTTCGCCTTGGTTCCGCTGCGATCCCACCCCCGAGCCTCTGACGAATTCCGCTGCTCCCTGGATCTCCCTCGGGGCGCGTTCTGACCAAGATTCGAGGCGAGTCTGGCCGTGGCCATGAGGGATGGGTAGCGGTATCTGGAGACCTCCCAAGTGGGGTCCGAGTAGATGGGGTCGGAGGATCGCGCTGTATCGCCAATGCTTCGCCGATGCAATGCATCGGCGACGTCGGCGACGCATCGGCGCCTTCGGCGTGGGGAGAATCAGGCTCCACATCGAGCTACATTCCCGATGAAGCGGCGATTCGGAGCGATCCTCCGACCCCATCTACTCGGACCCCATCTGGGAGGCTTGGAATATCGGCTATTTTTCGCCTTTGATCCTCTACCTGGACCTTCCCGTCCCCACAGACGTGGCTGGACAGGCCGAAGATCTTCGGCTGGGCAGACCACTCGTTGTCGGCCAGGCTGCGCAGGAGGGTGCCGGTGGCCAT